TCAAGTGCATCCTTCTGTACTCTTACTTGCAGTTTCAGAGCATCCTCTGGAGAAAGGAATTTCAGTTTACGAAAACGTGGATCGAGGGCAGCAGCAATGAGTGACACATTTTTCCCATCTTGAAATGCAGATACCTCTGGCTGCCACCTTGACATGATTTCCTCTTCTGCACTGTTCTGGAAAATGTTCACTGCGGCAGAATCAAAGGATTTGTTTTGAGTGGATTTCAGAAGACCCTTCAGCAGTGGGGGGAGAACAGAGGCTGTGACATAAGATTGTCCAAGAACATTAGTGGCTTGCTCATAAGGCTTGAGCACCTCCTTCAACTCACCCAGAAGAATCCACTGATCATTTTTCAGATCCAGGTACTGTTTCCCACGCTGTGTGACTTCTGGATTTGAAAGCGTCGCAACTACTGGCCATCTCTGTTCCAACAAACGTTCAGTCATGTAGTTTGAACTGTTCCACCTGACAGCTACATCCTGGATTAGTTTATGCTCAGCTTCACCCATCTGTTTTTGCTTCTCCTTAAGGTTGATGCTAGCTGGCTCACTTTTCCTGATGTGCTTTACGAGGCCCCGTGCAGCTGATAGTGCCTTATCAATCTTGGGGTCTTTCAGTGCATGGTTTACAACCAGTTGCAGTGTATGCCCAGCACACTGATAGGATACCACTCCAAACTTCTCTTCCAGGATGTGGAGAGCTGCAACCATGTTACTTGCACTATCATGCACAATGGCAAGGACATTATGCAAGGAAATTTGGAATTTTTCTGCCACCTTCTCCACCCAGGAGGCAAGGTTTTCTGCAGTGTGGCGCTCTTCAACTGGGAGTGTTGTTAAATTGAAGGAGAGAAGATCCCAATTGTCATTGATGAAATGACAAGTTACTCCTAAGTAGGACTCTGTGACTAGACTTGTCCAAGCATCATTGGTAAGGGAAATTTTGGATGAGGCCTTTTTTAGTTCATTCCTTAGTTTCTCAACTGAAGTTTTATACTTTCTCTCCATCATGCTTGTAAAATGGCGCCTAGAAGGCAGAGTGTAACCTGGTTGAAAAGTGGTCAGCATTTCTTGGAATCCTTCACCCTCAACCACAGCAAGTGGCCTCATGTCTTTCAAAATCATAGATAGGATGCTCTCAGTAAGTACAGCCACCTCCTGGGGGGTGCAGGGTGTTCTTTTCTGACAGTAGTCCTCCAGACTTTTCTGTTTGTTCCTGAAAACATAAATCACACAGACAACACACAGATAAATTAAAATAATTACAAAAATATTTATGTAAAAAGCATAATATCAAAATAAAAATTTGAAGATCTGTATTTCAGTGTTTTTTCAAAATATTTAATCTATAAGATTTGTTAAAGAGGTTGTTAACACAAAATGCTGCACATTTTTGTAGTCATTAGATGGTCTATAAGATCAACAAGCTGGATGAGCATGATGTATAAAAAATAACGTTCAAACAGGCTGAGGCATTAAACTTGACAATCAAGAGTCCGTTGTCATTTTGCTTTTGCAAGCACTTCAACAATATTGTATTGTCCACGACGGCTACATTTAGCAGGTGGTACATTGTCTTTAACATTTTTACTGCGGCCATTTAGCGCTCTCCCACATTTTCAGCTCTCGCCGATTCTCATAATCAGCACGTGCACATTCCGACTCAGTTATTATTTGCGTCAACGTATTTTACGTGTCGACGTAATCGATAACGTCGACGCGTTGTCCCAGCCCTAGTCATGCATCTGTGACAGTGTGAGCGTCCTGTCACTGTGACCCGATTGATCATGCGCCCTGGCTACTTGTACAGGGGAGATTTCTGTTTGGCTGACTGGTTAGCACGCGTGACTTTCACCTGGGAGTCTGAGGATCGAATCCTGATTGGACCATTTTTTTTATATCCACCACAGATCTCTCTGAAGAATTCACAACATTGACAGCTTCAGAAACGCTGTGCCACTCCGTGGATTTTCTCTTATTTGTTTTGCAAAAGCACTTCCTTTCATTTCTCCACCTCACCCACAGGTATCTCAATTTCTGCTTCTGTGAAATTGCGCTTCCTTGATCTGCCTTGAGCTACGGTCGCCATGTCATTGGCGGAGCGCTGCAACAGCTGGCGTATGTATATGCATGAGATCCACAAGACACTTTGCATTGACTATTTATGGCAGTAAGTGGGTGTGGTGAGGGCGGGATGTGACTAAAATGCAGCTGAGAAACTTTCTCGTTATTCTCCGATTTATGAAGCGGAGATTGCTTTCTCCGGGTCAGGGATGAGGTCCTGCCCCAAGTAGAGGAGTTTAAGTATGTCAGGGTCTTGTTCACGAGTGAGGGAAAACTGGAGCGTGAGCTCGACTGGCGGATTGGTGCTGCATCTGCAGTGATGCGGGTGTTGTACCGATCTGTCGTGGTGAAGAGGGAGCTGAGTCAGAAGGCGAAGCTCTCAATTTACCGGTTGATCTACGTTCCTACCCTCACATGGTCATGAGCTTTGGGTAGTGACCGAAAGAACGAGATCGCTGATACAAGCGGCCGAAATGAGTTTTCTCCGCAGAGTGGCTGGGCTCCCTTAGAGATAGGGTGAGAAGCTCGGTCATTCGGGAGGGGCTCTGAGTAGACCCGCTGCTCCTTCTCATCGAGAGGAGCCAGTTGAGGTGGCTCGGGCATCTGGTCAGGATGCCTCCTGGACGCCTCCCTGGTGAGGTTTTCCGGGCATGACCAACCGGGAGGAGACCTAAAGGTAGACCCAGGACACGGTGGAGGGACTATGTCTCTCACCTGGCCAGGGAACGCCTTGGGATTCCTCCGGAGGAGCTGGCCCAAGTGGCTGGGGAGAGGGAAGTCTGGGCCTCACCATAGGCAACTGCCTCCGCGACCCGTCTCTGGATAAGCGGATGAATATGGATGGATGGAAAGAACAACATGGGTGCAGCACTAACCAGTGTTTCTCTTACATAGGCGTTGCCATGGCTGAAATCCTAGCACCACGCCTACAAGATCCCAAGTTTTATTGATTTTTTTAAATATTTTATTTATTTTGCACTGTTTCCTGAAGAAGCAGCGGGAACTATGTTGTTGCTTGTGATCACAGCCGGTATCGGTACAGGATCTGCTCGGTGTCCTTCGACTGCCGATGGCGTCACATTACTGCAAATCTACTCGGCTCGCACACATACTTTTTGGAAAGACATCAGCAGTTTTGTTAATAAATTCTTGTTTGTTAACACCTAAATGTTTTCTTTATAATTGTAATTTGTTAATAAAACACCATATTATCTTTGTTTTGTAAAGAATGTAAAACTGCATAAAACCAACATCGGACTGACAAAAAATAGCACAGTTCTTATATGTGAAGCCATATCTGTATTAATGTGGAGTTCGTCTGTATATTTCCTTAGTTGTTATCTAAATACATTCTTTGACTCAAAATATTGCTTGGTGTATTTAAATAAAGTTATTATATTTTATTTTGCCCCATTTCATCAACATCAAGAGCTTTTGAGGGTCACAGTTTATCATTTGCTTATATTTTACTTTTCCTTTAGAAACTCAAACATATTTTCTCCAAAAACTGTTGATTTTTGGACTACAGGACAACAACCGCTAAGACTACAACCGCAAATTTGTTCTGACCAATCAAAATCATAACGTCACTTCCATAAGCTTCATGTTCAGCCATTCAACTACTTTGACATCATCGGTAGTCAAAGGACCCCGAGCCGATCCTGCACCCGAGCAGATCCAGTACTGACACCGGCAGGCAACAAGGAGGAGGAGGCAGGGCAGGGTGGTTACAGCTAGGGATGAGCCGGATACACATTTCAGACGAGTATTCAATACGGATAAAGCATTTGACGAATACGAGCATGAAACGAGTAAAACTCGTAAATATCTGTAATCGTGCTGAAGGAAAATCCTCATTGGGTAACTGACTGTCTTCGCGCTCTGTGATTGGCCAGTCACATAGAGCGCCCGCCCCTCCCTACACACAAAACTGCAGCCGGGAGTTCAGTCTGTCTGGCGCACGCGCACACACACACACACACACACAGACAGTAACGGATCTCTCTGTGCTTGCTTCACTGTTGCTCACGTTTCTTCAGTGCTCCCTAGGTTTTCTTCAGCTCGCCTCTTTTTTGGTTGAATATTTAAAGTTACTTTTTTCGTAACGTACGTGATGCATTTGACAAGACAGAGCTGAAAACGGCTCGTGCATGCGTCGGTCACTGCCTCCGCTCCGGTCGGGTTTTTCTTTTATTATTATTGTAACTCTCTCCCTCTCTCTCACACACACACCTCAATCAACATTGTTTTGTTTAACTGTGTGTGGGAAAAATGCCAACAACGTTAGGAAAAAATCAGATTAATCAAATTAAAATAAAATGGTTCTAGTATTTCATATTTCCTAGTTCCTACTGCATGAGTTCAGATGCATTAATTCATGCACTTAAATATTAATCTTCTGATTTTATTGAAAAACTTGTTCTGTAATAGTTCCTTTACTATTGTGATCAAAAATATTTAATCTCAATTCTGAGGCTGCTCTGTAAATAGTTTTCAAATAAACAACACACATAGCAACTTCTGATCAATCCATATCAATTTCAGATTTAAAATAATTTATTGATGTAAACCACACCCACTAATTTCCAAATAATAAATAAGAGGTGCATTCATCTGTGTATCTCCTTTGATCTGCATTAGTGATATTTTCAGCACCAGAACAGTGAAGCAAAGAAACAGATTCCTGAGTTTATTTTAGTAATTTTATTTATTAGGTGCATCTGATCTGTTCTATTCTCTGAAATGAGATCATATCAGTGCTTCTATGGGTTGTCTCCTCTCTGCACTAGAAAAATTTACTTTATTATAATGTTCACTGTAATGCATCTTGATGTTCTTAACAATAAATTAAATCAAAGATATTGGTCAATGGGTTCCTAGGGGAAAAACTGGGAAACAGTTTCTTCTGACTGACTGTAATGTTCTTGCCTGCAGCGCCGGCCCTAAAGGAGACAACATTTATGAGTGGAGATCGACCATCCTGGGACCGCCCGGCTCCGTGTACGAGGGAGGGGTCTTCTTTCTGGACATCGCCTTCACGCCAGATTACCCCTTTAAACCCCCAAAGGTAGTGGTGTGTGTGAGAACTGCATTTTTAATTAGGAAACAGGTGGTTTTAAAAACTCCTACACACAATCGTGTCCAGGGAAGAGCAGATTTTAATCATCAGCTGACTTCGAGCAGGTGTTGCTGTACCCGTGGCTGTTTTTGTCTGTTTTTCTCTTATTCCATGAATTGTTTTTATATCTTTATATTAGGCTTGGGCGGTATCCAAATTTTAATACCATCAAGCTTCTGCCTTATTTGACCAAGATGTACGGCGTTATTGGGACTAATTTAAAAACTACGACATTAAACCTCAAGTGGAATTACTGAGCTGTTGGTTTGGACCTTCACTGTTCAGAAACTGAATAACAAACACTATTACTAGAACAATAACAACATAACACACATAATATTAACTTTTAAACAGCAGCTTATAAAAAGACCTTTTGCCTGAAAAACCAGCATGTTTACCAGCTTCAACATAGGACGTTGTGGACTGATTGCTGAAGACCTGCTTCGATGAGCTGGTGGCACCGACCTACGGGTACTGTAGTCGAGACATCTAGGGAAGGCTGGCTGTATATTTCTACCAGAAAAGCTTGTTGTCTCTTTTAATAACAGGCTCCAGACAGAAGTCAGCTATTTCAGCCACGGCTCGCTCCTCTGCTTTGCCGATGGGATGTGCGTCTTTCACTGTCATCATGTTTGCACTAATAACCTCGTCAGTGTTTATCGGCTCTACTTTTACGTTTTCAGAAGCATACTTTATGTCATAAAATAGAAAAGTGTAGCGCATTTAGATACAGTCATTAGAAAAGAATGTTTTATGTACTATAAATAAAGGGATTGTCTGTAGACACTAATATTTGCTGTAGATTAGTTCAATGTATTGTTGGAGAGTCCCACAAACAGGAAACAGCTGGACTTAAATCTTTTATTAGAGGTTCTTTTGGACACTGCTTGTAGTGGCCAAGTGGAGCGGATTCTTTTTTGACCAGATGAGTTTAAACTGAACAAACTTGGTCTGTCTTCAGGTTTCTGTTGATGGTTGCTAACGGCAACGCAGAGGTACATTTCTGACTTTACCGCATCTGATCCCAGAAATCTAGAGATGGATGTTTAAATGGTTTCCACTGTACCACACAACCAAAGGACCATGATAAAGTGATCGAGTACTCTTCTGGTAGCAGCTCATTAAATATGCAGGCGGAGCTCGCTACCGTCCCAGTAACGTCCATATTTACAGCCCAGTTTCCCCAGATAACGGCTCCTTTATGGACTTTTCCCTCACAGCAGCAGGACTCATGCATCTGCGTTGTACAGAAGGTGATGGGTGTGTGTGTGTGTGTGTGTGTGTGTGTGTGTGTGTGTGTGTGTGTGTGTGTGTGTGTGTGTGTGTGTGTGTGTGTGTGTGTGTGTGTGTGTGTGTGTGTGTGTGTGTGTGTGTGTGTGTGTGTGTGTGTGTGTGTGTGTGTGTGTGTGTGTGAGAATCACTGACTGTTGACAAACAGCTGATTCTGCATCACGCACTGATAAAGAGGTCTAAGCAGCCTCTGGTCATATTTAACACAATGACAGGTTTTTTGTTCTGGTGTGCGTGTTTTAAACATACAAGCCTGGAGGCGTATTTTAAGCATTAGAACTGGGACTGGTGGCCTTTTTAATTTAAGGATGATGAATTATTTGTGAGTGCCTCCTAACAACCTCTGACCCCTCAGTCAAACAGTTTCAGGACCTTTTCTAATAGTTACCCAAAGGAATCTGGAGCATTTATGTAACTTTACTTGTTTAGGGATCATTTCTTCTCGGACAAGACTATTGTTTGTGTCTGAGGTGGTCTGTGACTCTGGAGTTCTTTATCCCATTTCTGAAGGATTTAAAGACTTGAGAGCTTTTTAGCTTTAAAACTGAAAGTCTCTCCAGTACCTGGGTTCAGCCACTAGGGGGGCTTTAATCTCCAGTGTTTCAGCTCTGCTCCACCTTTAATTCCTGCTGCATTCAAGTTTAACAACCACTATTCTTTATTTTTAAAGTTTGACTTATTGTGTTAAATCAGTTATGAGAGGAAAATATCATCAAACGCTCATATTTGAGGCTTCCTGGCGATTTTATAAAAAAAGCATGTGAGTAGATCTGAAAATAATTTTCCAACCTGCTTGTGTCTGCAGGTAACGTTCCGTACGAGGATCTATCACTGCAACATCAACAGTCAGGGGGTGATCTGTCTGGACATCCTGAAGGACAACTGGAGCCCCGCCCTCACCATCTCCAAGGTGCTGCTGTCCATCTGCTCCTTGCTCACAGACTGTAACCCAGGTGAGACCACAGGCTGGGTGGCTGGATCTCAAGCTTCCAGCTATAGTTCATCAAAAATGCTGGATGCCCTGTCCTTTCGTTGTGTTTTGGTTTACGTCTGCATCAGGGATGGTTTTCATTACATCTGATTTCTGTGGGTTCAGCTCTTTCTGTGTTTGAATCAAAAACAATCCAGTTTTGGTATAAATATACAGATTATAGCTTCAGAGATGGAGATGTCACTCATTCCCACAGAATAAATCTCTAGTCTTGTGAGATTCCTTTTCATTAAAACCTTTTTCAGATTTACAAATTTGTTTAAAATAAACATTTATTTTCTTCTCCATGCAGCCGATCCGCTGGTAGGAAGCATCGCCACCCAGTACACGACTAACAGAGCCGAACATGACCGAACAGCCAAACAGTGGACAAAGAGATACGCCACATAGACCCGCTGGGTAGAGGAGGAGGAGGGGTGGGGTGGTTGTGGGTTATTTCTATCTCAGATTTTTAGTACTTTATTGTCTGGTCTATGTTTTGCTCCCTGATTAAGTTATCTCCACAAATATGGTAATAAAGGAACTAAACGAACATCCTGTTTTGGATTTTATTTACTACCCCCACCCCTCCCCAAGCTGTTTTTGCATTGTTACTGTGTATTTTGTTAAAGTGTGAGGAGTTAGAAACTCAAGGGCATCACGCTGAGACCTGCTGCAGCTTTTATTTCAACCCGCTGATTAAACTTTCCTGTTTCAGATAAAACTCGTTACTCTGATGTTTGATTTGGAGCTGCGGCTTGACGCTGTTTATTGTTTGTATGTAGATAAACATCTTTGGGGTCAAAGTTTTTAAATGCTGACCTGGTGGCGAAGTGACTAGTTAATAATAGTGAGTGCTGAAGAAAGCGGTTACCCAACATAGCCCGTGATGAGTCGGGGGGTCAGAAGGGTCATCCATCTTCAGGTTTCAGGTCAACACCAGAGTTCAGCAGGAAACGTTCACGCTGCAGAAGAAGCTCAATAAGACAATGATTTTTACAGCTGGATGCTGTTTAAGACCAAAGTAAACATTCTGGATGACAGTAGACCGCTATTCATTAAGACACTTTTATTAGTCATTCATGTCTCAACTCAGAAATGGTGCCGATTGTTCCACTGAGGCCGATCTGGTGAACAAATACTCTCCCTGGTGACCGCCTTGCTCATGTGCAAATGGTTTTAAACCATCTTGGATCCTTTTCCGAGGAAAAACAAAAGGAGACTTGAGCTAACAATAAGCAACTCATTTTAAAACCTCTGCTAATGCTGTACAAACACCAAACTCCAGTTTCCACAGGCATAAATGTTAATAATTTACATTATTTTATTTTTTTGGGGTGGCAGCTTGGCTTGGAGATTAAAAATAGCCAAAGCAGCTGATTTGTAAAACAACGAGGATAACAGGCTGTAACGACTGCTGATTTTAACTGATAAATGTCAAGGACTTGCTTTTGCACCACCTGTGGTTTGAGTTGTAAAGTGAAATAAAACGTGATAAAACACTAAGTTCTGCTTTTTGTTCTGAATCAGATGAAGAAAGCCCGGAGCTTTTGTTTTGGAGTCTGATGTTTAACCATTCTTGTGTTTATTTTATAATAATACCCTGTTTTTAACCTGTTCCAGGAGAGCTTGCATACGATTAATCGGTTTAAAAAAACCAAACTCACAAACTGGAGAGATTTTACGGTTTCCAAATCAAGCAGCAGAGTTGTACTTTTACTAAAAACATGAATTCAGTTTTGCTCAAGTCACAATACAGAAAGTAAAATAAGTTCACATCTATTTCTATTCATTTTCAAGCCAATTGAATTGAAATGTTCATTTTGAAAAGCTTTCCTACATAAAAATGCATTTAGACTCATCTATGAACATGACAAAGTACTTTCCTAAAGCACAGTTAATTTTTACCATTTGTGACTTGATGGAGGAACACCCTCACCCACCAGTGCCAGAACTACTCATGGGGCAAAGGTCCAGAAGCATCAGAACAAACTGTTTCTTCTCTGGAGCCGACGGCTGGATGATCTCAGGGCTTCAGTCTCACACAAACGAACCTGAAACACTCAAATATCTGAAATAAGACAGGGTAACAATAGAACTATTATATGCTCATCGATCCTAAATGCAAAAATCGATAGAATGGCTATGTAGCAAACACTTTGAAATGTTTCATTGTGAAGTTTTGCTGACATGCTGTTTTCCACCTGTTCCAGCATCATGGCGAGCAGTCAGAAATGATCGTGTCCACTTGTAATATTGTTTCATATCGACTGACGGCCTAGACACCTAGACAAACACTGTAGCTTCAGCAGGTCTACCACTGGCTCGGCTTGTAGAGACGTGGAGCGGGCTCAGCAACATTACAGCTAAGCTTTTGTTTTAAATGATGATAGCAGAGCTGTGACAGCAAAACAACCATGGAAACTCAGGAAAGGTGCTTGTTTGAAATATATTTGGCATCAACTTTGGACATTTTAGACGTGAGCTTTTCTTTGAGACATGAGCAGAGGTACTTAAGTCATTTACCTTGAAAAAAGGATGATGTATGGCAGACTGCACCATTGATTTCCGTTGATATGATTTCACATTGTTGCTCTGACTGGTCCTAGCACTGTCCAATTGCGTATGGAGACGGTTTGAAAGACAACCGTCGATACTATCCCTGACTGAGCTGTCTATGGGTCATGGCCAGGCTAGGTATTAACACATATACATGATGGCTTACCAGGTGGATCCCAAATGGTTGGAAATGGTTGAGACTGAGGTTGATTTAACTGCAAACATCAAAATACAGTCCGCTGAATCGATGCATCGTGATCAAACTAGTGGATACGCCCCTACAAGACAAGTCTGCTACTTTTTCAGATGTGTTCCGGGAACACAGCCGGAACACACACTAGGTATTTGAGAAAATTGTCATCTTCTAAAATTATTCTCCAACGTTTCTAGATAATTTAGACTTGAATCATCACACACTTCTCTTCCAGCTTTTTATTGTGGTTTATTTTTTTATTATTTTTTTATCTGGTCTATTTTTGTAGCCTTTGTTCTATTTGTGATGCTAACATTTTCCTACTGACAAGGAAAAACACAGCAAGCTCACTGTCTCAGAGTTAAAAAGTATTTCGAAAGTATTTGCGGCTAGTGCGCAAAAACACGTGCAGCAGGGTTTTGTGCGGCTGATAAGATCGTCACGTGTGACAATTCAATAGTAAACAAACAGATTTAGACTAAAAACAGTCATAAATGACTAACATTTCTAATAAAAACGAGTCAAATCACCATGTAACACCATGTTTTCTAGGGAACGTAAATAAATCTACTTCAACTATGAAGGCTCAGCTCAACAGAACCGAGCTCATCCAGCAGCAGCACGCACCCGGCTGACTTCACGTTGTGCTCTGCAACGTGACTGCTGCGTTACGTCGCTACGACGCCTGGCTCCGCCCCCTCCGGCGTCCTGAAAGTGTGTCACTGGGTTAAAGTGAGCCGAGCTGCCGGGTGGAGGGGCGTGGCCGACGAATGGGTCACATGGTCCACTATTGAGAACATTTAGTTCTCTTGACTAACCCGCAGTCAGTCACACACAACAAGAGGGGGAGCTCCTCTGATCCAGAAGCGCTCTCCGTCAGAAAACAGAACTCTGGAAGAACCTCGCTCTCTTCCATGAATCATTGGCTCAAGGCTGCACATCATCTACCGAAGAAGAAGCTCCAGTTTCGGCTCTGATCCGGGCTGATCGGCGCAGTTTGCCTCTGACAGTGTTGGATTTAGTTTCAAATATCTTCTGGGACAGTTTTTCTTCCACATCCAGCGATGCCGGAGGACGTCGGAACCGCCAAACCCGGTAAGAACCCAGTGTCCCAGTAAAATGTTAAAACCTGGATTTTTGTGCACGGTGCGGACTTGCTGCATTGATGTTAGAGCTCATCAGTGGGAAATAACACATAATCAGCCATGCCTTCATTAGTTGATTCATGATTTTAAAATAATCATTTGTCTCATTTAACTGTTACAAATTACGTGTAGGCGCCAGTGCAAACTGCTGTTTTAATTACAAACATGCTAATAACATGTATGGCACATGTAAAGGTGGTGTTGCGTGTTCAGACTGCGGTGAGACGCTTCTTCTGGGTGTGTGTTTTATAGATCGGGGTTAGGAACATAGATCGGGGTTAGGAGCACCAGTGGCGCTGCTACATTTACATTTGACACAACAACAGTGTTCCACTTCCCGATCCGGCTCACATGGACGCTGTAGCCAAACCATGTGCCTCTGTGTACACTGTCCCAGCTGCTGCGCGCTGATTGGTCTAGGGGCGGTCCTCTCTGCGCGCACGCGTCAGCGGAATTCTCCTCCGATTGGCCAGAGAGGAGTCCGTGACGTAGAGCATTGCATAATCCAGGAGTGAGCGTTTCTGCGCTGTCCACGTGAGACCGGGGAGAGACCGTGGCGGCTGACCCAGATTCTGCAGAAATTCATGACAGGTCCACGTGTGGGTGGGCCGTGAGAGAGAACAGTCATGGTTGAGGTTAGGTAATCAGTCTGAGGTTTAAAAAGAACAGAAACAAGAAAAACAACCTTCTGTCTTTACAAGAAACACACAGATGTTTCTATTAGTGGAAATTCACCACATTTAAAGATTTTAACCCAAAACATTCATGACTCAGAATGAAAAAAAGTAAATTATTAAAAAAAGTTTTTGACTAATAACTGAAGCTACTTTGTGAACACACACACACACACACACACACACACACACACACACACACACACACACACAAACACACACACGTGTATTTCGTGTTAGGTGTGTGAGACTTGCCCTGGTGCTTCAGTGACCCTGTCTGGTGGACAGCAGAGACCTGGACATGTTATGTAACCCTGTTATCCAACCAGCACTGGAGGTGATAAAGCAGGTCAAAAGCAGCAGGGAACTAACCAACCAGCAAACAGCAACACACATGTACAAACACGCTGGGTGTGTCACAGCCACCCCTGCTTTCTATGAATAGTTTATACATGAGTCATTATCGCCAGAGTTACACTTTAACTTGGAGCAACTGGAGTAAGCTGCTGCTGTTTATTTATCTTTAATGGACGTTCCTTCCTCTCAACAGGAGGAGTCATTGCCTACATTTCATCCAGCTCTGCCTCCACCTCGGAGTCCTGTGTGAACAGCAGCTACGCGTCAGCATCACCGGCTGTGCCTCGATCCTCGCTGCCCAGTAGGGCCGTGGGCATGGTAGTGGATATTGCTCCACCCGCAAAGCGCGGCCCAGGCTCCGAGAAGACCGGTCGCTCCACCACTTCCACGAAGTGCAGCATCACCAGTAAGATTTTCTACCTTCCTGCAGACACGCAGATGGCATTGTCTTGAACGTTTGTCTTGAACGTTTCACTCAATCTTTATTCGTCTTTGCAGAAATTAACGGTATGGTGCTGCTGTGCAAGGTGTGCGGCGACGTGGCCTCAGGTTTCCACTACGGCGTCCACGCCTGTGAGGGATGCAAGGTTAGCTGAAGCTTGAACTCTTTAGCATGAATTTGTCTTCTTTATGCTTCTGCACACACTCACTTGGCGAATGCTCCCTGTGGTATTTTAGGGCTTCTTCAGGAGAAGCATCCAGCAGAACATCCAGTATAAGAAGTGTCTGAAGATGGAGAACTGCACCATCATGAGGATCAACAGGAACCGTTGTCAGCAGTGTCGCTTCAAGAAGTGTCTGGCTGTCGGCATGTCTAGAGACGGTATGTGTCTGGGTCCAAATGGCATCTGAAAAATTCTCAAGAGATGCTTTTAAAGGTAGATGTGATCTCATGTTTCTTGTTTTTGTTCTTAGCTGTGAGATTTGGCCGCATCCCAAAAAGAGAGAAGCAGAGGATGCTGCTGGAGATGCAGAATGCCATGAACAACATGATGAGCAAAAACAGCCAGCTGCACAATATGCTGCACAGCGACCAGAGCTCCTCTCTACCCATGGATGCCATGAGCAGCGACGCCAGCTCATCCTCTTCTTCTTCTTCCTCCTCCTCCTCTACCTCTGAATTTCCATCGTGTTCCAACCCGTCCTCCCCTCAGTGCCCCCAGGACTCTGAGTCAGTGGTTTCCATGGACACCAACTCTAGCTCAGCCTCTTCCTGTGCATCGGACAGCAGCGAGGACGAGGCCGTGGTAACGATAAGCAGACAGCACCAAGAGGCCTTTCCTTTCAGCCAGCAGAGGTCACAGACTCAGGATCAACTCTCCTCGTCACCTGGCACGGCTGCCCTGGAGACGGGCTGCAACAGCCGCGCGGAGGAGCAGCAGCAAAGTTTCAACTGCTGGAACAACAACGACAACTCAGCTGCAGGAAGCTACCAGCGCTGTCCGTACAGCAGCAGCGTCTCCAACTCTGCCTTCAGAGACGAGACAGGAGCATACCAACAGCAGCAGCACAGCCACAAACCGCATGACTTCAACGCACAATCCACCTCCAGTGGTTCCGACAGACCAAACAGCTGTGTGAAGAGCAGAGCATACCTGGTGAGTGACGCCTGAGGGTCGTCTCCTGATCTAAAACACACATCTAGAAGACATTTGTATCTCATCATGTCCTCCTTGTGTCTAAAGGTCTGCCCCATGAACACTTCACCTTACGTGGACCCCAACAAGCCCAGCCAAGAGATCTGGGAAGAGTTCTCCATGAGCTTCACCCCCGCCGTGCGGGAGGTGGTGGAGTTTGCCAAGAAGATCCCAGGCTTCCGTGACCTCTCTGAACACGACCAAGTGAGCCTGCTGAAAGCCGGAACATTCGAGGTGAGAGGGCAGTCGGAGGCTGCAGGCTCTTCTAACAGAGCCGCGTGCTGGATAAATATTTACTCTGCTAACAAAGATGAAATGACACCAGAACTCACTGTTCAGCTGACGTTTGCTTCCTCCGGTGTCAAATCAAGTAACTTGAATGTTTTGCTCCTGATTCCCAGGTGTTGATGGTCCGGTTTGCCTCCCTTTTCAACATGGCCGAGCAGACGGTCACCTTTCTGAGCGGTAAGCAATACAGCCTCGGCACGCTGCGATCGCTGGGTGCCGGCGAGCTGCTCAACTCCATGTGCGAGTTCAGCGAGAAGCTGGCGGCTCTGCGGCTCAACCAGGATGAAATGAGCCTCTTCACTGCAGTGGTGCTCGTCTCAGCCGGTAGGATTGAAACATTCCCCTCTCCTATTGGAGATCCACCACCTGTGATCATCGCCTGTGTTAACCCCCCCCCTCTCTCTTTGGTCTGGTGCAGATCACTCTGGGATTCAGAATTTAAACTCAGTGGAGGCCTTGCAGGACAAACTGATCTGGGCGCTGCGGAACCTGGTGATGCAGAACCACGGCGACGAGTCAGCCACCACTTTCACTAAGCTGCTGCTCAAACTTCCTGAGCTGCGGTCGCTCAACAACATGCACTCCGAGGAGCTGCTCTCATTCAAGGTGCACCCATGAAGGCTTCCTAAGTGGGGACACTGAAATCCTCCACCTGGACCTGCCTCTGACCGGCCCCCACCCCCCTGCCCCGTATTCGACCAACCCCGTGCCCGTCTGTTGAATGTATGAAGTTATTTTTTTATCCTGTTATGGTTGAGTTGGCCACGTGGGGGCTGCAGAGAAACATAAAGTTTACTGTATTTATAGAAAGGATAGCTTTGCTTGTTGCACACAAATACACACAAATGCATGTGTGTTGGAGGTTCTTAGTTGGATGCATTTTTTTATTTTTAAAAGGAAGGAGTACCTAATAGGCTCTTTAAAATATAAATGTATATGTATACAGTGCAAACATTGATTTGTCAATGATTTTTTTTTTTACATTTGTTTTCTCCAAAAGCCATTAATTCCAAAGTGTAACCTCTGAACGGATGAATGAAAGACATTTACAGTATGTATGTTTGCTCTAATCAGTTTTTATTTTGTGTTGTGAGGAAGACAAGCTACCGGACGAATGTGTGATCACGGCAAATGCATGGTTGTACTTTGATATTCTAAATACGATTATCTGGATCTGCTCCCCTCACTCAGAAAGCATCAGTCCATTGTGTTGGTGTACATAGCGATGTGTGTTTTAATCCTAATTTAATTTGTGCACAGCTGCTTTATTTTGCGAGTCGATTTTGCTGTTTAAAGCAAAAACACTACATTTGCACAAAGCAGAAAAAAAACAAGTAAAACAGTCTGATGCATCATTTGAAGACCACTTTTTTTTTTTTGCCATTTCCCATTTTTTGGTTTTGATTTAAACAGCTTTCAGCATGGCACTGAACTTTGTTACCAGCTTTTCCTCATTGACTTTATCAGCTACTGGCAACAGTGCTGTTTGTAAATATTCATATGAAAAAAAAATTATATATATATATATCCAATGAACATAGAATATATAAAATAGTATGAATAAAAATGAATGAAGATAAATTGGTGTGGTGTTTTTCATTCATGCTGTTGTCTTAAGAGTAGCAGTGAGCTTTGTTCACCAGTAGGTGGAACCAAATAGCTTAAAAATACTGAAGAAAGTCTGCCAATCAGCTCATTTATAAAATCCTTCATTATCAAACATTGTTGCAAACTATTTTAACTGATAAAGAAGCGTGTGTGTGCGCGCGCGTGTGTGTGTGTGTGTGTGGGGGGGGGGGTCATCAAGTTTCAGTAAAAATGTTTCTAAAAAGAAAAATGAACAAACGAGATTATCTGACCAAAACAAAAGAAAATGGATTAGTATTGATGGGGTAGTTTTTTTGAGAATCTGGCAAACTGAATGTTTTAAAAGGGCAGCAATGACCAAAAAACACAAAATGGGAGGAAAATTAATGTTGATGCTTCATATCCAGCAAATGGTCACTAATCTGTTATGGGGTCCTTCCCTACCAGGTGGAGTTTTAGGTATTTCAGGGTCTTGTTCACGAATGAGGGAAAGATGGAGCAGGAGATCAATGGGCAGGTTTGTGCTACGTCTGCAGTGATATAACTTCACACTACAAAAACTTTACACAAAAACACAATGATACGGGGAGAGGGCATCAATCGTCTACAGCAGTAAGGATGTAAATGACAAACAGATAAAAGACAAAAATAAAGATGCACAAAAATTCTACCTGCTTATATTAAAACACAACCAACTTCATCAGGAACTGATCAGTATAAAACACAAAGATTGATCGATAAATCAAGAGCTTCGCCTTCTGGCTCACCTCTCTCTTCTCCATGACAGACCGGTACAACGCCCGCATCACTGCAGATGCAGCACCAATCCGCCAGTCGAGCTCACACTCCACTTTCCCTCACTCGTGAACAAGACCCTGAAATACGTATACTCCTCTAGGGGGGCAGGACCCTGACCCGGAGTAGGACTTCTACCCCTTTCCGACTCAAGACCATGGTCTCAGATTTGGAGCAGCTGATTCTCATCCCAGCTGCTTCATGCAAAAATTAGAGATCATGGTCTCATGAAGCCATCAGGACCACATTTTCTGCAAAAAGCATAGACCTGATCCTTAGGCCACCAAAATTGATCCCCTCTACATCTTGACTGTGCCAAGAAATTCTGCCCATAAAAGTTATGAACAAAACAAAGGAGAGCCTTGGAAATGTCTGACTCTCACTGACAAAGCCCAACTTAGTGCCGGTAATGTGGACCAAGATCTGATATTGTGGAGGGACTTGCTATCCCACACAACCCCGCCCCCGAATTATGTGAGGAAAATGGTCAAATGCCTTCTTGAAGTCCACATAACACATGGAGATTGGTTGGAGGAAATCCCACACACCCTCCAGGACACTGCAAAGAATAAAGATATATAGCTGGTCCGATGTTCCACGACCAGGTCAAAAACCACAATGCTCCTCCTGAATCTGAGGTTCAACTATCTAGAGGACCTTCCTCTCCAGAACCCCTGAATAGACTTTACCAGGGAGGCTCTGGAGTGCGATACCCTTGTAGATGGAACACACCCTGCATTCACCCTCCTAAATAGAGGGACCACCACCTCGGTCTGCCACCAATGTCCATGCAAATTTTCTGCATAAGAGCTGCATTAGCAAGCATAGCCCGACAACATCCAGGGTCTTAAGAAACTCTGGGTGAATCTCATCCACCCTGGGGACCTGCCACTGAGGAGCTGTTTGACCACTTCGATGACCTCAGGACCAGAGATTGGAGAGCCTGACTCAAAGTCCCCTGAGTCCACTTCCTCACTGGAAGACGTGCCAGTGGGATTGAAAGTAGGTCTTCAAATTACTTTACCCACTGACCCACAATATCCAGAGTCGAGGTCAGCAGCACTCAGTCCCCACCATTAAGTGTTGGTAGTGAACTGCTGTCCCCTCCTGAGATACCAAACGGTCGAGCGGAATTTCCTCAAAGGCAAATGGAAGGTCTTTTCCACGACCTCGCCAAACTCCTCCCACATCTTGGGTTTTCCTGAACAACCACCCGAGCAGCATTCCGCATGGACTGCTTATACCCATCAGCTCTGGAGTCCCACAGGCCAAATATGGCCGATAGAACTCCCCCAGTGGGTTCAGGGGTTGCTGCCATGAAAGGTACTGACCACCCTGTGGTCACAGCTCTGGTCAGCCGCCTCGACAATGGAGGCAGACTCAGTGTCCTCTGCCATCCCAAGACATGTTCAAAATTTGCCAGAGGGGGGATCTGAAGCTTCTTCTGACAAGAGACTCCACCAGACATTCACAGCAGACCCTCATTTTTTACTTAGAATCAGCATTTTCAAGTTAAAACGTGAAAACAAATGTCTTTGGAATTCACTAAATCATTATTATAAGGACAGCGCTACACATGAATTTGGAAGAATTGGAAATCAGTATCGAACAATTCTACCAAAGCCAGAACTGGTGCATCTCTAAAATCAGTAGAGTAAGTATGTTCATAAAATATTCTTTCCATTCAGTTGTTCATTTATTAGACTGGTTACCAGCTGAATGCTTCTGTTTAAATCTTTACCAGGTTACGCCAAGGCTCATGTGGTCAACCCAAAGCCTCTCAACCAGGGAGACCTTAGATGGAGACAAGGCTCAAGGCATCCACAACCCCGAACCAGGTGGTCTGGAGAAAAGTATCACCAACAAAATTAACAAAACTAGATATATTAATTCATTTATTTGTTGGTGTTGGTGGGTAATTATCATTGAATTCAAATAAAGGATGCTGGAGGTTGCACTTTAATTTGAATGAATAATTTGTGGAATGCAAATCATTTCAGAACAGCCATATCTCACTGTTTATTTTGTACCTTGTTTCTGGGTGGTTTACATGAAGTAATGACCCAAGAAAAAAAATAGAAGCATCTATGTAGATATTTAGGGATTTTATGGATGTACACAAAGTATTTCTGTAAATAAAACCGTAAACAGAAATGTCAGAATTGGGGAAAAGGCTGCTTTAAGAAATCTGTCATGATCTAGGAAATACAAAAGATCTTGGTTCCAGAAAGCATCAGTCCAAACTTCTAGTGAGGACAATAAATAAGAAAATAAAATTAAATAAACACAATATCCACTGAAGGAGTTTATGACAAAATAATCTGTCAAAAGACAGACTTTGGCAAAAAAAAAGAAAGTTTATTCAGCATTCAGAGGCCTAGTGGTATAAATGTCTGCCTTGAGATCGTGGGTTCAAATCTAAGATCGGGTCATGGCAAAGACTCTTAAAAATGGGACCCAATGCCTCCTCACTTGACACTCAGGATACAACGGTTCAATTGTGGGGGTTAAACCATTTTGCTTGTGTAGAACATCATATGGTTGTTTGCGTCTGAAGGGTTCATTAGGAGAACTTTGAATGTAAAGACAATCTAAAGACAACAAATGATGTGGCCCATATGATCTCAGAATTTCTGATGTACAAGTCATAAAAACCACTTCGTAGTTGGAATCTAAACTTGCAAAATCAGAGGACTCCAAACAGCCTCAAAATGAAACATGGCCGCCTTTTGCTTAAAAATGATAATTGTTGTGTTTTTGCATTTTGTTTGTTTTGAATCACAATAAAAAGCTTTTAAAGGCCTAAAACTTTGGTTTGGAGATCACCTGGATGCTTTATGTTCATCAGGCTGAGTGGAGGCTGGATCATAAATGCATCAAAGGACTAAAAACAAAGCCATTCTCTTCCTCTTAATGTCTGGTCTTTAGATGCTTAATTACATAAAAATTACATTGGAAACTACTTCTCTATTTACACTTTTAATATGATCTAAAATCAACAAAAGTTATTGTTACAGTCAATTGGTCCAAATTACAATGTGTAATCAGGACTTGAAGGACATTTTATAATCTCAAAGCCTAAACCCTCTAACATTAGTAATGTTTGAGATTAGAAGTTTTTATCTCAAGAATAAAATACAAAAATTGGAACTCAATATCGTTCCTCAATCAGTGCATCTTATATAATTAAATCTTGGATTATTGGATGGTCACAAATTGTAGAAAAAGTATTTAAAGAGCAAATCACCCCCTACAATAAACTTACTCCACTCCCACTTCATGTTTGAAAAATGCAACAAATGCTGTTGCTTGGCAGACCGAGAGGGCGGAGCCGCTAACAAATACACACACACACAGACTCACAATGGCATTATGACATCATAATATACCAGATGACATCATAGCATACCTCTTAGCCAATAGCGGTGGCAGATTTAAATTCAAATACAGTGCAGAGTTTTTCCCTGACAACGACACAACACTGACAGATTTAGGCAGAATATTTGAATTTTAACCAAGATGCACTGAACTGCCAAATTATTGACGACACGTGTCTGCAGCATGATTAGACACTCCTTTCTATAGTTTATCAGCAAAAAAAAAGTGATTTGGTGGTGACTTGCTCTTTAACTGCATAAAGAACTTAATCATACAGTGAAGTGAAATATCAACTTGTTGCCTTGTGATTAGTTCAGAGTAGCATCTATGAGATATGATTAAAAAAATACCAAAACACCGGAAGTATCTGCAAATAACTTCAATGAATGTCCTGCTTGAACTAAGTTTCCATTCAATGTGGGAAAACAAAGCTTGTAGAAACCACTGGCTCCCTTTTTCTCTTCCTGAATTGGAGGCAGTTGGTTCTTCATCCAACCCGTTTCACTTCAACTGTCCTTATTTGCATCAAGCTATTAAAATGGAGATGGACAAGAATAAGAAGCACACTCTGGAGGTGAATGTTCTTGTTCTGCAGCTCCAGAAAGGTAAAGCTAGGTTTAGATGAGTTTCTTTTTCATCATCTTCTATTTACTATGCACAGAAATTAGAAATATATAGATATCACAATTCATGAAGAAGCTGTTTACTTGGTTTGGTGCAGATTGAGATAGCTATAATTCACCAATACAAGAAAAATACATTAAAAATGTTTACTTATTTGTAATTAAGTTATAAAACATCTATATGACTTTAGGGATTTA